TCCTGTAAAAAAGGCCTCACCTCCTGGATCAGGAAAACATGTATGCTATAAAGTGAGAGAATGTCTGCTTTCACTTATAGAAACATTTCACATACCATAAGGATTAGAACTGTAGCCATGTGTTTTAAAACTTCTCTTATCTCACCTAAAGCCAAGCAGCTACATCACAAGATAAGCCCCTAAGCTGACTCCCAAGGTGCAGGAGAGACCAGAGTATTATCTTCCTAAGTATCTATATTTCAAGGAGGAATAAGGACCCAGAACTTGGAGACACCTCTAGGTCTAAAACGCCAATACAAGGAGGGAGGGAGGGTATCTGGCTCCTGAAGAGATTTTATTTACATACCAAAGGGCTGGAGTAAACAGAAGAGGTAGACAGCTAACTCCTTCCCTTTTATAAGCAGGAAAAAACATTCTACCCCAACTCACAAAAAACAACTAACCTGGCTCTCATAGCATTGTCCTGGCAGGTAAGAGCTAAGACAAAGAAGGACCAATGCACTTACTAATTGTGAGGCATTTATTAAGAACTCTGTCGCTAATCCAGAAAACTGTGTGTGCGCATTCAGGGTAAAAAATTTATAAAAATCAATACAAAAAGCTCAACAAAAATAATGGCCACGGGCCGGCCGAGTGGCGCGTTGGTTAAGAACTGGCTTGGGGGCCGGCCGAGTGGCGCGATGGTTAGGAACTGGCTTGGATGCCGGAGGGCCCCGGTTCGGATCCCACATGTGAGGGCCGGTGACGCTGCCCTCCGCAGCTAAGATGCTGGACAGCGGCTCGGCCTGGAGCTGGGCTGCCCTGAGTCGCCGGCGACGGTGTAGGCCGCGGCCCCTGTGGCAGTGGGTTGCCGTGGGCTGCTGTATGTAGCCAGCAGCCAGAGTGAGCGGCCAGCAGCCGCAGTGAGCGGCCGTCCAGAGGCCGGTGGCTGATCTGCCTCGCCCAGGAGGGGTGCGGTGATGGTGCCAACTTGGGCCAGTGAAGACACGTCCTCCGCGACTAGACTGAAGAACAAAACGATAGCAACTTGTCTGTTCCCCTTCCCCCGATTCCCCAGCACTGTTCCATCCCCCC